CCCCCCCCCCCCGATGGCTTGCAGAGTAGTTGGAGTAGTTCTTCCTCTGGCTGTTCCTTGGAGGCCCTTTGCCCCACCAATGGGCAGTGCTGTCGCCTTCCCCTGGTCAGCAATTGTGTCCTGGGGCCTGGAAATGCAGTGCTTGGAGGCTGTTTCAGGCCCTGAGAGCTTTTCCAGGTGGTTTTTGGAGTTCCCTCCAGAGAGCATTTCCCACCTAACAGGTGCACTGAGGCCTTGGCCACGCTCTGCTCTCCTCAGAACACAACACACGCTTCCCTTGACCTAACCTGCACATTTTCCTTCCCAAAGGAGAACGGCCAATGGTTTTATTTCTTTTTCATATTTTCTGCTTGGTGATAAGCAGGGCGGAACAGTACAAAACTCAGCACCAGGAGGGGAATCACTAAGAAAGGGGTGTAGAGAGCAGGCAGGGTCAGGCATTCCCGCAGGGTCCGTGGGCTGGGAGCCTGGGCGCTGGAGAAAGTGGCAAAGAGGATCTGGGCTGGACAAGCAGCCATTACTGTAACCATGCGTCACGTAGATCGTCACAGGGGTCCGGACCCACTTGCAGTTCCCTGGATTGAAAAGTCAGTTTTTAATAACTGTAGTCCCCGGTCAAAACTCTGCTGCTCATTTCCTGATTTTCACAATTAATATGCAGATTGTGCCATAAAAGGGGCTTTTTTTCACCATTTCAGGACAGTGCGCCGTTGGAAGACCCGAAAGACCAGGTTAGGGACAGACTACCATGGAGAAAATCTATGTTGTTGCTAGAATTCTGGGCAACTGCTTCTTCTGAGTTGCCAATCAGTGTTTCCAAAGGACCATTGGTAATCCAGCCACACACACTAGAAGCTGTTAAATACCTTTCAAGCCGCTTAACAGGAACCAATTGGACATGTTCCTGCTGAAGCTAACAATAGCACTAAGGGAAGTTGGGGTTTTCATCATTCCAGTGGGGGCAGATGCAGGCCTCCTGCCATCAAGCTTCTAAAAGTGAAAACGATGTCCCAAACACTGTGTGGGCCCAGGTATGCTCCTAAAATGATTCAAAGCCTTTAGATCAGTGTTTCTCCACCTTGGCCACTTGAAAATGTGTGGACTTCAACTCCCAGGGAATTCTGGGAGTTGAAGTCCACACATCTTCAAGTGGCCAAGGTCAAGAAACACTGCTTTAGACCTTGTTCAAACCAGCTTCTTATGCACACTCTCGTGCGTCCCATGCAATGTTTCAGATGCTTGGATGTGCATGGAGCTTGCTATGATTCCATTGGAGGCAACAGTCTGTATTTCTTACTGGCAGCCCCATTACTTTTCCTGGTTGATTTTTCCTCCAGGTGGGGAAACAAAATCTCAGCTGATCTGTCTTAGTACAGCCTTTCCACCTACTTTCTGCTGCCCCAAAGTTTAGAGAGAGCAAAAGCTGAAATCGTCAGTATGACCTTGCACGGCAGAGGGATTGGGGTGCTACAGCCAACCTTCGGGGGGGGTGTTCCAAACTGGAAACCTTTCACACCCACAAACTCCCTTATTCAACCAGCAGACAATGGAGTTTTTCCTTTGGCTTCTTTCAACATCACATCTGCAGCGGTTCGAGACGGGAGAACCCCAGCCAAGGGGAAAAACTGTCGCTGCAAGTCAATGAACTCGAGATCAAACCGCATGTATTTATCTGTTGCCAATTTGTCTACACTTCCCAATTTGTCCGTGGTGGTCCACTGGCTATGGGCAGATCAGGACCCGCCCATCGCGAAGAGAATGGCCAAGTTTTCTATCTGCAGCCAGAATATGTCCTAATCTGGAGTGGCGACGTGAGGAAGCCTCTGTTCTTTATTGTATTTTCATTTTATTCCATTTGATCTCATGCTTTACACGGCTTTATTATGTTTTATTCAATTCATCACTTGTTCTGGGCGTTAAGTCTCAATTTTAAGGTATTATTGGGCTGCCACTGTTTTTGTATTTGGTCATCTCTTCCGTGGGTTATTTATTTGTTTTGCCTTGCTGTCCTTCGCTGTAATTAAATCAATTTGATTGGATTTGATAAATGCTTGGATGGTAGGAGAGGCGCTGGATCCTACCATCCCCAGCCAGACTCATGCAGACCTAGACTGACCAACGGCCGGGTCCCACGCAGCTTCCCCGTTCCCAGATCAACCGGGTCCTTCAGCCTCAAAAGCGCCCGACGGGACCGCGGCGCAAGTTCTCTGCTCTAGATACGCCAAGCAGGTCCCACGTCCTTACGCGGCGCGGATCCCGATGCTTGAGGCTGCAGCAGCCGCAAGAGCTCAGCGGCGTCTCTCTACTTACGGCGGGAGGGTAAACTCCGGGCAGCAACAACTGCATATCGAAGAACAAAGTGATCGGGATGTGAGCGAGGAAGTAGCAGACGAAGATCCACACGAAGACGCGCGCCGCCGCCGCCGCCGCCGCCGCCACCCCCCCCCCCTTCGGTAGCAGCCAGGCGGGCAGGCGCCGGGAACGAACGATCGCCTTTCTCCGCACCCCTTGGCTCGCCCCCATGGTGCGCGGCCCCCCGCCCCCCCCGCCCCCCCCG